ACCACTGAGCTAGACCATCTCGGACAAATGGCTGTCCAGTCTCTTCTTAAAAACTTCCAGTGTTGCAGCAGCCACGTTTGAAGGCAAGCCATTCCACTGATTAATTCTTCTAATTGTCAGGAAATTTCTCTCTTCGGTTCCACTAAGTTGGTTCTCTCCTTGACTGGTTTCCATTCGTTGCTTCTTGTCCTGCCCTCAGGTGCTTTGGACAATAAGTTGACCCCATCTTTTTAAAGCAGCCCCTCAAATAATTGGAAGACTGCTATCACGTCCCCCCTCGTCCTTCTCTTCATTAAACGAGACATCCCCAATTCCAGCAACCGTTCCTTATATATTTTAGCCTCCGGTCCCCCAATCATCTTTGTTGCTCTTCTCTGCACTCTTTCTAGAGTCTCAACATCTTTTTTTTACATCGTGGCGACTAAAACTGGATGCAATATTGCCCCCAGTTCTGAACTGATTCCTGGCTTGGCCAGGGGGTTGGACTAGATGACCTCCAAGTCCCTTCCAGCTGCATGCTTGATGATTTGGGGGAGGGAGACGTCTTCCGGATCAGGGTCAGATTGGTTGATCAGGGAAGGCCTCAGAAATCCACCCCCCCACACACAAATCAGGAATGTATGAGTTGTAGTCCTGCCTTGATTGACCTTGGGCCAGAAACTTTCTCTCGGCCCTAAAATGAAGGCAACGGCAAAAGAGCTGAGGTGGCGCAGCAGTTAGAGTGCAGTACTGCAGGCCACTTTAGCTGACTGTGTTCAGCAGGTCAGCGGTTCAAATCTCACCGGCTCAAGGTTGACTCGGCCTTCCATCCTTCCGGGGTAGGTAAAATGAGGACCCAGATTGTTGGGGGCAATGTAAATATATATATATATATATATATACATTGCTTACTGGTGTACGCCGCTTAGCGAGTGCTTGCACTTAAAGCGGTATATAAGTCTCATAAATAAATAAATAAATCACTTCTGGGAAAAAAACAACTCTTTTATCTCACAAGCCTGTAGAATGCATTTAAAGCATCCCCATCCCGTTCTCCAGCTGAAAAGATTCTGAGGATCCCTCACAAAGAACTAGATAGCGCTGGATTGCAAGCGTGAACTGACACGACATTAAAGGATAATGGGATGAGGAGGGCAGAGAGAGAGAAAAAAAAAAGCAAGCTCCGGTAGCAGGCGTGAAAGTCAGATGTGTTAGAAGAGAAGGGATGAAAGACGAAGGTGGGCCTTTTTTGAGTTTGAGACCGTATCCTGTTCCTCTGATTACAATATGGAACCTGACCAGCCCCAATCCTATAGATCAGTGGTTCTCAACCTTTTTAATGCCGCGACCCCCAACCGGCTGTAAGTTGAGGACTAAACTGGTCGTAAGTCGAGGATTAAACCGGTCGTAAGTCAAGGACTACCCAACCGGTTGTAAGTTGAGGACTTTCCCTGCCCAGGAGCGCCACGCATGCGTGGTGCCGCCTCCTGCGCCGGCAAAGGCGTAGCTGGCAAGCGGCAGAGACAGAGCAGGCCGACCACCGGCTGGGCCACCAGCTGTCCCAGCCCAAGGGAGGTAAGGCACCCGCCGGAAAAGGGGAAAAAAATGGCGGACAGCCTTGCTTGGCGACCCCCGTGAAATGGTCGATCGACCCCAAATGGGGTCGCGACCCATAGGTTGAGAACCGCTGCTATAGATATAGCTTTGTCCCCATGTTGTGTCAAGGACGGTATATGAATCATGTAGGTCAGGGGTGTCAAACTCAATTTCACTGAGGACCGCATCAGCATTGCGGTTGCCCTGGGGCAGGTGAGGGGGTGTGGCCAGAGTGGGTTCAGCCTACTGGGTGGGCGTGGATGGAATGGGTGTGGCCTACTGGATGGGCGTGGCCATTTCTACATCATGCGCGTCAAGAGTGCCTGTGGGGGCCTGGGCAGGAGTGGGACAGATCTGAGGGTCTCTGGCAGAAGGGGGTGGGACCGGGGCAAGTGCCAAGGCATGGTCCACTGGGGCAACTGCCAAGATGGCCACCACAAAATTGTATATTGGCTCCCGGCCGGCCTGGGCCAGGGCCAAGGCAGCGGGGGCCATTCCCTCACTGTTTCCAGGATGGCTTCGCAGGCCACATGAAACCACTTTGTGGGCCGCATCCGGCCCCAGGGCCTTGTGTTTGACATATCTGATGTAGCTGATTGTAGGACTATAGTCCAGGACTGGGGGGGAGGAACATCAGTGGGGGGCACATTCTCTGGCCTAGATTGTGATTCTCCACAAAGGGGGGAGACTTGAGAAGTAGTCACGGAAGGAAAACACTCCAGGAAGGTGACCCCAAAGATGCTTTTTCAGGAGGCAATTAGACTTTCTTGTTTTTCCATCGAAGACATTTCGCTTCTCATCCTAGAAGCTTCTCCAGTTCTGATTGGATGGTGGGTCAATGGAAGGATTTATACTCCTTGCAGACAGCTGGTCATTTGCCTTCTTTTAGAGAGCCGTTGAGGCCACTTGGAGGTTTATCTGTGTCCTCAGTTTTTTTTTCATGAGGCAACTGGACTTTCTTGTTTTTTTGTTGACGATGTTTCGCGTCTCATCCCAGAAACTTCTTCGGCTCTGACTGGAAGGTGGGGAATGGAAGGATTTATACTCTTTGCAGAAAGCTGGTCATTTGCCTTCTTTTGGAGAGTCGTTGAGGCCACCTGGAGGTTCGTCTGTGTCCTCAGGGTCAGCTGAGTAGTGCAAATGGGTGACAGCCCTCTCTCAACACAGGGGGAAGCATACAACATCATCCATCTCCAGTCTACCACACAGTCCTTTCAGCAGTTCCAAGAAGGCTCCACACCCGTTTGTACCACTCAGAGGATCCTGAGGACACAGATAAACCTCCAAGTGGCCTCAACAATCCTCTAAAAGAATGCAAATGACCAGATGACTGCAAAGGAGTATAACTCCTTCCATTTCCCCACCATCCGGCCAGAGCTGAAGAAGCTTCTGGGATGAGAAGCGAAACGTCTTAGAAGGAAAAACAGAACGTCCAGTTGCTTCCTGGAAAAAGCACCTTTGGGGTAACTGTGACCTGGATGTCTCCAGAGACATGGGAAGGTAAGGAGAAGGAGAACCTGGGGGGGTTAGAAGCGTGGGAAGGGATTGATGTTCTTTGTTGCAGGTGCTGTTCTCCAAGAACGGGCGTGGGAAGATCTTCTAAAAAACGATGACAACTTCAGCCATCAGCCTGTCTCTTGGCTGATCTGGGGAGACACAGCTTGCATCTTTAAAAAGTTCCTTCTTGACTGCCTGGGTCATCACCTTCGTTCTCTCTTCTCTCTCTTGAGTTGGGTAGAGACCTTTGACTTTGGACCTCTGAGGGCTGCAGAAATCTTGATGACCATTAGAATAGAAATAGAAATAATAGAAATAGAAATAATAGAGATAGAGATATAGAGATAGAAACAGAACAGAATAGAAAATATGGAATGGAATGGAATAGGAGAGGAGAAGAGAGGGGAAAAGAAGAGAAGAGAAGAGAAGAGAAGAGAAGAGAAGAGAAGAGCTGGAAGGGACTTTGGAGGTCTTCTAGTCCAGCCCCCTGCTCAAGCAGGAGAACCTATAGTACCATCTCAAACAAGTGACTGTCTAGCCCAGGGGTAGGCAACCTTGGCTCTTTTATGACTCATAGACTTCAACTCCCAGAATTCCTGAGGCAGCCATGCTGAGGGGAAAGGGAGAGATTTCCAAGCTGAGCCAGGCTGGCTCAGGAATTCTGGGAGTTGAAGTCTACGAGTCATAAAAGAGCCAAGGTTGCCTACCCCTGGTCTAGCCCAGTGGTTCTCCACCTGTGGGTCGGGACCCCATTTGGGGTCGAACGACCATTTCACGGGGGTCGCCAAACAATGCAGTCCGCCATTTTTTTCCCCTTTTCCTTAGCTGTGCTACTCCCTTTGATTCTATTGGCTTTTGAAAGCCAATAGAATAGACTCTCTTGAATAGAGTCTAATTCTATTGGCTTTCAAAAGCCAATAGGAATTGTCCAGGCTGTCTCTGCCCTGCTGAGCCCGCCAAAAGTCCCATTCTGCAAACAGTGCTGCACCAGTTGAATAGTTCTCGTCTTACGACCGGTTGAGTAGTCCTCGACTTACGACCGGTTGGGGGTTGCGGCATTAAAAAGGTTGAGAACCACTGGTCTAGCATCTTCTTAAAAATCTCCAGTGATGGAGCGCCCACGATTTCTGGAGGCAAGCTGTTCCACTGGTTAATTGTCCTCACTGTCAGGAAGCTTAATTCCAGGTTGCTTCTATCTTTGATCAGTTTCCAACCATTGTTTCTTGTCCTGCCCTCTGGTGCTTTGGTGAATAATGTGACCCCCTCTTCTTTGTGGCAGCCCCTCAAATACTAGAACACTGCTATCCTGTCTCCCCTATTTCTTCTTTTCTTTAGACCAGCCAAACCCAAGTCCTGCAGCTGTTCTTCTTATGTTTTAGTCTCCAGGCCTTGGATCATCTTAGCTGTTCTTCTCTGAATTTTTTCCAAACTCTCAACATCTTTTTTTGGTGGTGGCGAGTCAAGGGGCTTCCTGGTTATGATAGACATGGGACTTGTGTTACTACAGATAGTTCTCGACTTACACCCATTGGCTTAGCACTGAAAAAAGCGACTTATGACCGTTTTTCACACTTACGACCATTGCATCATCCCCAGGATCATGTGACCAAAATTCAGATACTTGGCCACTGGTTCATATTTATGATGGTTGCAGACCCGCAAACTCAATGGGGAAGCCAGATTTCCTGAACCATTGTGTTCCTAACTTCACAGCTGCAGTGATTCACTTAACAACCGTCGCAAGGAAGGTCATAAAACGGGGGCAAAACTCACTTTGTAAATGTCTCGCTTAGTAACCTAAAATTGTGGTCGTAAGTCGAGGACTTACCTGTAATTCTTACTCTCATTTGTTCCCTTCACCTCTTCCCATGTCCTCCCTCCTGGCGCTTTAACGGCCTATAATGGCCTGTGAGAAGAATGGCACAAAATAGTAGAAAATGGCTTTAATTGAAAATAAGGACACACAATCCGCTGTGGACGACCCATTCTGGATCCATCCTTAACATCTCAAATCTTTTCAGAATCTGAACCAACATCCTCTACACAGATTTAAAAGTCCTTTTTAAGAGCTGCTTCGTATCCAGGCTGCTTCCTTGACACGCCTGGCACGATCAAAATTAAAACATTATCCTTATCCTCAATCATCCCCATCGTCAAAGGATATCAGTTAAAGGAGAATGCCTTCCGCTCAGCCGTCTGAAAGGAGAAATCGAGAACGCACAGCGGGATTAATATAAGGATTCTTTCTTTTTTTTTGCCATTCAACGTTGGCGATTTGAACGAGAAGGACGCAACGATTTGAGGTTCTTGAAAAGGACAAGACGCTTAAAAGCCCTCTTACTGCAAAAATAGCCTCTTGGCGCACCGGGCCTAGAAAATGGCAACTTTCCTCTACCGAAGTTGTAAAACCGTCGCTTAAAGGAAAACGAGAAGTGGGGGGGGGAGAAGCAAAAGTTGTGGCCAAAGCCGCAATGTTCTAATTGAACCTGGCCCGTGGAAGCGCCCGTCAAGGCGCTCTCTCTTGCGCGACGTGGAAATTCAGAGCTGAAAAAAAAAGAAAGATTTTTCCATAAATTCGGCAAGCAGCCGAGGGTGCGACGGTTCTCGCCCGCGGAAGGGCGGAAGGTTTAGGCCAGCGTGGTCCATGGCTTTGAGCAAGGCCTCGTGGAGGTGAGGTTGGCAATTGTGTGGCACCCAGAGCGTTGCGCGGAAGCGAGCGGCTGCACAAAAGGCACCATAATGCGGCTCTCTTAAACTTTGGGACGGGACAAGAGCTGTACGGCGAAAATTATCCTTGTTTGTTTGTACACGCAGATGGTGCGCAGTGGGGTTTTTGATTTTCTTTTTTCCTAGCTGGAGGCTTGACAATTATTATTACAATTATTATTATTTAAAAGGAAGGCAGAATTGCGAGAGAGAAGGAAGGCAGATCAAGGAAAAACTCTTGAGTCTTTTAAGCAAGAGATTTAGTCCCGCGTGACACTTTTACAACATTATGGTGGGGGTCCTGCCTTTGTCGCCCCATCACCCCCCATACACACACTAATCATATCATAGAACATAGAATCATAGGGCTGGAAGGGACCACGGAGGTCATCTAGTTTAACCCCCCCCCTGTTCAAAGAGGAGACCTTCTAGGATGGCAAGGGTGGAACGGTTTTTTTCAGGTGGGGAGGAGATTTACAGCTGAGTTCGGAGGTGAGCAGTTTCTTCCGTCTTGGCTCAATTTCAGAATCGGAGGCCGTCTTCAAACCCTGGACCTCCCCACCCTCCACTCTCCCAAAAGCCCTCATCAAAATTCCCCCCCCCAAAGGTCCTCCTCAACATTTCAGTGCTGTGCGAAAAAAGTGAAGCTTGAGACGTTAGGCATCAAAGCAGATCAGAGAGGTCTGAGCATCCTGCCACATGCTTAAGGACGGGCCTGTTCCGGTGTTGTAGTGGCGGCGGAAGACGCTACCCGGGGATGCGCGAAGCACGGGTGCGCGTTTGTGTCTTTCCTCGGAGAGAAGGTGCTCATAGCACCGAAAGGTCATTGCAGGATTTGGACCTCTGCTTGAAGAAGCGTCCGTTGCGGGGGACCAAGTTGGAGAGGAACCGCTTGGCTTTCTTGGTGAGGCTTTCGCGCCGGCCGATGGCGCCCTCTTTGCTCAGGGAGTCGCCCTCCCTTCGGCAACGGCGGAGGCGGATCTGGCGCACGACGCCTTCGAAGAGCTCCTCGGTGTTGTGGTGCAAGGCCGCTGAGGTCTCGATGTGTTTGCAGTTCATCATCACCGCCAAGCCGCGGCCTTCTGGAGGATGGAGAGACGAAAAGGGAGGAGCGCGGTTGAGCCATCTGGGATGGCGTCGGGTAGTTTTTGGATCCATCCCGCCGCCCCTCCCCTCCCCAAGATTGTGAATTCAATTCTGCCCAAGTTTTCTTTAAAACAACAACAACCCCGGTTTAAATTGTTGTTGGGTTTATCTCCATCTGCAATCTCACGACTCTGAAAAGTGTGGAGGAGAGGCTACGCAAAAGACCCGCAATGAGGTCATAGTGAGCAAAAGACAAAGGCTAGACAGAGAGTCTTGACTCGCAACCACAATGGAGTCTAACATTTTGCTGCCAAGTCAGATGTTTGTTAACTGAGTTTTGCCCCATTTTGCGACTTTCCTCGTACTCCGAGCATATAAGCGCTTATAAACAGTATCCCGACTAACGGGAAGCCAGCTTCCTACAGTCTTTTTGGCTGTCCTCACCACTCTCTGCATGGACCTTCTATCGGAGGCAGTTTGTTAAAAACACTCTCAATGGTGCCTCCATAAAAAGTGGACAGAAGGAGGAGGAGGAGAAGGAGAAAGAGAAGGAAAAGGAGAAGGAAGAGGAGAAGGAGGAGGAAGAGGAGGAGGAGGGGAAGGAAAAGAAGGAGGAGGAGAAGGACAAGGTAAAGGAGGAGGAGGGGAAGGAAAAGAAGGAGAAGGAAAAGGAGGAGCAGGAGAAGGAGATGGAAGAGGAGGAGGAAGAGGAAGAGGAGAAGGAGGAGAGGGAGAAGGAGGAGGAGGAGGAGAAAGAGAAGGAGGAAAAGGAGGAGGAGGAGGAAGGAAAAGGAGAAGAAGGAAGAGGAAGAAGAAGAGGAGAAGGAAAAGGAGGAAGAGGAAGAGGTGAAGGAGGAGAAGGAAAAGGAGGAAGAGGAGGAGGAGGAAGAGGAGAAGGAGGAGGAGGAGGAAGATAAAGAGAAGGAGGAGGAAAAGGAGGAGGACAGAAAAGAGGAGGAGAAGAAGAAAAAGGAGGAGGAGGAGAAGGAGAAGGAAAAGGAGGAGGAGAAGGAGAAGGAAAAGAGGAGGAGGAGGCGGAGAAGAAGGAGAAGAAAGAGGTGCTCTCCTCATCCGACGCAGGAAATGCAGACACCGGTTTCACACCCTTTGCTAAAGATGAGCAGGCATCATTGGAACCAAGGTCTCATGCCCACCACCTCTTTCTACCTTTCACCCGCAAAGGTTGGGTAACTCACCTTCTCGAGAGACTTCCCGGGAACGCGCCAGGTCACTCTTGTTCCCCACCAGGATGATGGGGGGATCGGTCCGAGGGCTCCCGGCCCGTAGGCGCAAGAGGGTTGGGGGCACCCTGGTGAAGCTGCGCCGATCGGTCACCGAGAAGACCACCAGGAAAGCATCGCCCGTCTGGAGACAGGATTCTTGCAACCACCCTCCAGAATCTCCCTGGTGGGTGGAGAAAGACAACATCAAAGTTGGGAAGCTGTGGGTTACAGGTGGTCCTCGGCTTACAACCGTCGGTTTAGTGACCGTTCAAAATTACAGTGGCTCTGAAAAAAGTCGTCCGTGACTGTTTTCTCACAGTGACGACCATCGCAGCCTCCCCATGGTTACACGATCAAAAATTCGGATGCTTAGCAAGCGACTCATAGGTACGACAGTTGCAATGTCCCGGGGTCATGTGACACCCCCCCCCCTTTGCGACGTTCTGACAAGCAAAGTCAATGGGGGAAGCCAGATTCACTTAACAACCGTGATACTGATTTAACAACTGCAGTGATTCGCTTAAGAACCCGGACAAGAAAGGTTGTAAAATGGGGCAAAAGGGACCTAGCATCTGTCTTGCTTAGCAAAAGAAATTTTGGGAGGAGAAGGGGGAGGGGAAGGAGGAAGAGGGGGGAGGAGGAGGAAAAGGAGGAGGAGAATGATGATGATGATGAAGAGGAGGAGGAGGAGGAGGAAAGCGATGTTGAGAGTTTGGAAAAAATTCAGAGAAGAGCAACTAAGATGATCAAAGGCCTGGAGACGAAAACATATGAAGAACGGCTGCGGGACTTGGGTTTGGCTAGTCTAAAGAAAAGAAGAAATAGGGGAGACAGGATAGCAGTGTTCCAGTATTTGAGGGGCTGCCACAAGGCAGAGGGTGTCAAATTATTCTCCAAAGCACCAGAGGGAAGGACGAGAAACAATGGTTGGAAACTGACCAAAGAGAGAAGCAACCTGGAATTAAAGAGAAACTTCCTGACAGTGAGGACAATCAACCAATGGAACAGCTTGCCACCAGAAATTGTGGGCGCTCCATCACTGGAGATTTTAAAGAAGAGACTGGGCATTCACCTGTCTGAGATGGTACGGGGTCTCCGTAGGTGAAGAAGGAGAGTGCAAAAGTTGGCTTGAAACTCAACATTAAAAAAACCAAAATCATGACATCCGGCCCACTCAATTCCTGGCAAATAGATGGGGAAGAAATGGTGGTAGTGACAGATTTTATCTTCCTGGGCTCCAAGATCACCGCAGATGGGGACTGCAGCCAAGAAATTAAAAGACACTTGCTCCTGGGGGGGAAAGCTATGGCAAATCTAGACAGCACACTAAAAAACAGAGACGTCACCCTGCCAACAAAAGTACGTATAGTCAAGGCCATGGTTTTCCCAGTTGCAATGTATGGCTGTGGAAGCTGGACCATAAGAAAGGCTGAGCGCCAAAGAATTGAGACCTTTGAACTCTGGTGCTGGAGAAGACTCCTGCGAGTCCCCTGGACTGCAAGGCGATCCAACCGGTCGGTCCTAGAGGAGATCAACCCTGACTGTTCTTTAGAAGGCCAGATCCTGAAGTTGAAACTCAAGTCCTTTGGCCACCTAATGAGAAGGAAGGACTCCCTGGAGAAGAGCCTAATGCTGGGAAGGATGGAGGGCAATAGAAGAAGGGGAGGACAGAGAAGGAGGTGGCTGGATGGAGTCACTGAAGCAGGAGGCATGAGCTTAAATGGAGTCCAGAAGATGGTAGAGGACAGGAAGGCCTGGAGGAACGTGGTCCATGGGGTGGATCGGACATGACTTCACAACTAACAACAAAAACAATAAGCGCCCTGTTTTTCTAAAAAAAAAAAATTGCATCCTTTTGAGTAGCTGAGAGTTAAAGTGGAAATTATATTTCTATGGGGAAAAAATCTGTGCTTGTGCACAGCTCATGTAACAAACAATTATAGGAACGCCTGTCTAAATATTTAAAAAACTGTTTTGTCTGTAACTAACGGAATGCAGATGGATAAATGGGAGGGGGGGCTATTGTGATTTTATTATGTTGACTTGCCTGAAAGGATTAAAAACTCCTCCCCCTTAAAAAGTGAAAATCAAACAATAAAATTTGAATAAGCCAAGCTTGAAAAGCCGGGTCGCAGCAATGGAAGAATTAAATGGATTTGCGAAGACACCCTGACAAATGCATTTGCCTGGGGAGGCAGAAAATAGGAATTAAATGGCCTCTTAAAAATGCCCTTGTATGCAATTTTTTTTTTTTTTGCAAAGATTTGCATAACATAGAAGGCTGCCATTCTACCTGGAGAGAGCCTGGGCTGCATTTGCATATCGATTTGCATATATTTCCGTGTACCATAGTACTCTATTTGCATGCATGGTTTCCAAGCAGATGTCTCATTTGCATATGTTCATTTACTGTCTTCCCCTGTTTGAGGGATTTTGTGAAATTGTTGTCAGGTCTCCAACTAAATGTTTAAATTTAAAAAGCAGCTCATTTGCCTTTGCTTGGATGGTTCTGTATTGTGGGTCATTTTTGCATTAATCTGGCATCCGTATAACTTGTGCCAAAAACTGGAGCATTTTAAATCTGCTGCTTATTTGTTGGATTTCTTTTTTTTTAAATATTTACCGAAAACATTCGTAACTCCCCACATTTCCCTTAACAACCATTCAGCCTTCTTTTGTTATCTTTTCCCTCTGCTGAGTAAACTAAACTTTGTACAAATAATAATAAAAAAATCCGACACATTTGCTGCTTAAATTCATGTTCAGTGAAGAGATGAATTTCCTTCCTGGCTGAAAAGCGAACTCAAAATTAAAAGGCAACTCTTAACCCATAAGAAATGCCCTTTAATAACATTTACCCTAAACTTTCTGAAAAATTCACGAGGAGTCGTTTGCAGAATCACTCAGTCTTAAGGACTAGAAACATGACTCGCTCAATAGAGTTTCTCGGAATGTCTGAATTCCTGATTCCTGTGCCTGCAACTTTAATGGGCTTACTTGGAAATCAGAAATTCAGGCTGGGTAGTTTAAAAGCACTGTCAACATCCTCCTGTATTCCATACAAATCTAATGAGTGTCAATTTTCAATCAGCTAAAGAAAAAAAATCGTGCCTCTTGCTCGCTTTTCGGGGTCTCTCTCTCTCTCTCTCTCTCTCTCTCTTTGTGTGTGTGTGTGTGTGTGTGTGTGTGTGTGTTCTACTGTGTTTTAATTTGATTGGGGGCCATTAATGAAGACATTTAGATCATTTTTTCCTTCAGCCGCGCAAATCTGATCCAGGTCCACCTACTATTTGTTAAAATGGAGAAGATGCTCAAATTTGAATTCTTTCAGCTTATTGAGTTGAAAAGACAATTTGTACACGAAGGCTGTTGAAGACCAGAAGAAAGTATTTTTAGAGCACTCGAGTTTGCAGATCGGCATTTTAGATGAAAACCTACTTCTTGGCAGGCATAAAATGTAGATATCTCTTAAAATGTGTTCCTACCTCTGCTTAAAGATAAATCAATGGTTTTTTTTTTATTAATTACCTTGCACGGTTAGGTCAGTTAAATGGCAACTTCTGAATTGCAATTGATTAGGTAATTGAATTGCAAATTCTTTTGAATTGCAACTTCAGAAATTGTGAGTGCTCCAAGAGACTGGACAGCCATTTGTCAGAAATGGTCTAGGGCAGGGGTCTTCAAACGTGGCCCTTTTATGACTTGTGGACTTCCACTCCCAGAATTCCTCAGCCAGCGTGAGGGAACTGTGACCCTTTTATGACTTGTGGACTTCAACTCCCAGAATTCCTCAGCCAGCGTGAGGGAACTATGATCTTTTTATGACTTGTGGACTTCAACTCCCAGAATTCCTCAGCCAGCGTGAGGAAACTATGACCCTTTTATGACTTGTGGACTTCAACTCCCAGAATCCCTCAGCCAGCGTGAGGGAACTATGACCTTTTTATGACTTGTGGACTTCAACTCCCAGAATTCCTCAGCCAGCGTGAGGGAACTATGACCCTTTTATGACTTGTGAACTTCAACTCCCAGAATCCCTCAGCCAGGCATGCTGGCTGAGGGATTCTGGGAGTTGAAGTCCACAAGTCATAAAAGGGTCAAGTTTGAAGACCCCTGCCCTAGGGTTTCCTGCTTGAGCAGGGGGTTGGACTAGAAGACCTCCATGGTTCCTTCCAATTCTGTTATTTTACATTCTGTGATTAATTGGAAGGTTTCAAATCTGATCCAGTTAACCAAAAGTCTAACCTTCTGTTTCAAATTAAATGCTGCTTGTTGCGTTCAGAGGCGGACTGTTTACCGAAAATAAGATCTGGGCCCATGTCAGACATTACATCAACAGTGCATAAACTCCAGAGACGTTGCGTGTGGGTTGAAGCAACCGCAACGCACCAAGTCGACTATAACATCAGGGTATAAGAAGGTGACCTTTGAAGGGCTTAATGTCTGTGGAGATTCTCAGTCATCCAGGTCTTAGTTGTCTCAAAGGTGGTATTTTTTTTTAAAGGAAACTGGACTGTTTTGAGGGGAAAAAAGAGGTTTCCAAAAAGCTTCATCGGTTCTGGCAGGATGGTGGAGAGGGGGCATGGAAAGATTATTTCTGACAGGATGTGGGGGAAGGGCTGGAAGACATTGATTGCAATGAAATATGATTTTGAATCTCCAAGTGGCCTCAAGAACTCTCAGGGAGAATACTAACGACCAGATGATTGCAAAGAAACACGATTTTGAACCTCCAAGTGGTCTCAAGAATTCTCAGGGACAATACTAACAACCAGATGATTGCAAAGAAATACAATTTTGAACCTCCAAGTGGCCTCAAGAACTCTCAGGGAGAATACTAACGACCAGATGATTGCAAAGAAATACGATTTTGAACCTCCAAGTGGCCTCAAGAACTCTCAGGGAGAATATTAACGACCAGATGATTGCAAAGAAATACGATTTTAAACTTCCAAGTGGCCTCAAGAACTCTCAGGGAAAATACTAACAACCAGATGATTGCAAAGAAATACAATTTTGAACCTCCAAGTGGCCTCAAGAACTCTCAGGGAGAATACTAACGACCAGATGATTGCAAAGAAATACGATTTTGAATCTCCAAGTGGCCTCAAGAATTCTCAGGGAGAATATTAACGACCAGATGATTGCAAAGAAATACGATTTTGAACCTCCAAGTGGCCTCAAGAACTCTCAGGGAGAATATTAACGACCAGATGATTGCAAAGAAATACGATTTTGAACCTCCAAGTAACCTCAAGAACTCTCAGGGAAAATACTAACGACCAGATGATTGCAAAGAAAAATCTCTTTTTCTTCTTCTTCTTCCTCAAAAAACAGTCCCGTTGCCTTCTGAAAAAATCAGAGGCTTTGATTAGCTTCGGATCTTTGCCCTTTCGGATTGTCCTTTCAGATTTTATCCTTCTACCGGCGGATGAAAAGAGGGAGAAGGAAAGTCATACCTGATCCCAGATGTCGTACAATGTCAAGGTAACTTCTTCGTCATCTACGTAGAATCTTCTTTCGTATGAATCTTCTGGTAGAAAAAAAATAAGTGAACATCTGATCAGTACAATCGTATTTCTATGGGGGTGTGTGTCTTTTTTAAAAAACAATGGTGGGTGGGAACAATTTGGTCTTGAGCACCTGAGGGCAGGACAAAAAACAACGGTTGGAGACTGATCAAGGAGAAAAGCAACCTGGAATTAAGGAGAAGCTTCCTGACAGTGTGAACAATTAACCAGTGGGACAGACTGCCACCAGAAGTTCTGAGTGCTTCATCACTGGAGGTTTTTCAGAAGAGAGTAGACAGTCACTTATCTGAGATGGTATAGGTTCTCCTGCTTGAGCAGGGGGCTGGACTAGAAGACCTCCAAGGTCCCTTCCAGCTCTATTCTATTCTATTCTATTCTATTCTATTCTATTCTATTCTATTCTATTCTATTCTATTCTACTCTGTATTTTATTTTATTCTGTTCTATTCTATTCTATTCTACTCTATTCTATTCTGTATTTTATTATTCTATTCTATTCTATTCTATTCTATTCTATAGTTTATTATTCTATTCTATTCTGTTCTATTCTACTCTACTCTATTCTGTATTTTATTATTTTATTCTATTCTATTCTGTATTTTATTATTCTATTCTATTCTATTCTATTCTACTCTATTCTATAGTTTACTATTCTATATTTTATTATTCTATTCTATTCTACTCTATTCTATAGTTTATTATTCTATTCTATTCTATTCTGTTCTATTCTATTCTATTCTATTCTATTCTGTTCTGTTCTGTTCTGTTCTGTTCTATTCTATTCTATTCTATTCTATTCTATTCCCTCATGTCAACCCTGAGATACAAAGATTCTCCTTTATTGGTACTTCCCCTTCCTCTATGCTTTTCCTCAATTCCCCCTCTGCTTCCTCTTTCCCATCCTCTTCCCCTTCCTCTCTCCCTTTCCCTTTTCCTCTCCCTTCCCTTTCCCAGTCAACTGATGCAGACTTCATGGAGAAATATATTTTGGAGATTGCAAGAGAATTAAATGTGTCCTCTATCCATTTAATCCCTGTGAGGGCAGCAGATTCCCCAAAGGGTTAAACAGACTATAAACTATTAATCTATCAGTTCAGAAACCTCTTACATATTTTATAGCTAAGCCAAAACCCCATGATAAGCTGGCTTCAAACAACCCATGGTTGCAAAAAAATGTAGAATAAAGCAATATGCAAAGCACAACATTCTGGAAAGCAGCTGGGTCTATATGACAAAGGAAATTACTGGATTTAGCATCAA